AGAACAGCAGTCCTCAGGCTGTGCCTGCCCTAGTGACTCCATGGTGTGTAGAACAGCAGTCCTCATGCTGTGCCTGCCCTAGTGACTCCATGGTGTGTAGACCAGCAGTCCTCAGGCTGTGCCTGCCCTAGTGACTCCATGGTGTGTAGGACAGCAGTCCTCAGGATGTGCCTGTCCTGGTGACTCCATGGTGTGCAGAACAGCAGTCCTCAGGCTGTACCTGCCCTGAGTGATCCCATGGTGTGTGGAACAGCAGTCCTCAAGCCCCTCCTGCCCTGAGTGACTCCATGGTGTGTAGGACAGTAGTCCTCAGGCTGCGCCTGCCCTGGTGACTCCATGATGTGCAGAACAGCAGTCCTCAGGCTGCGCCTGCCCTAGTGACTCCATGGTGTACAGAACAGGCTTTGAACAGGCTGTGCCTACATCTGCTACTCCATTTTGCAAAGCAGTAGTTTGCCATAAGCTGCTCTGTTTTGAATTTAAGTGCACACCTTGTTTGTACAACTAAACACCCACCGTCTGCCTGGCACAAAGTAATCATGCTAATAAGAATGACTGCCCATGAAATCATCAAATTAATCGTAAGCACTTGGATGCACGGGTATATCAAACTCAAACAGGAAAAACCTGACCCACGAGCTTATGGAGCACACTAGACCACCAAGTGACACAAAACCCCTCCCTTGAGACCCTTAAAAAAAGGAGTGTCCCAAGACTGGACACGGTGGCACCCTGACCCCATCACCTGGTCACTTGTGAAGGGCCTTATGCAGGAAATTCTCCACAGGAAGGAGCTTGGGAATCTCTGCCCTCTGCCTTTAGCAGAGCCCGATGCCTCCTGCCCGTGATGACCACTCAGGCCCACTCATGCTTCCTTTGCACGTGCACTGTGACACTGCGTCCATCAGGACCTGGGCCTAGAACAAACTCCTGTGCTCCTGAAGCCAGAATTAGGCAGGCAGGCAGTATAGACAGGTAAACTGAGTCTGATTGGATCAAGGAGGCTAATTTTGAGTGAGTGGGGGAAGTCGGAGAATGTCCCCTGAGGGACTGATATGTTATTTTCCAGGAGCCCTTCCTCCACCCTGATCCGGACCCTGCCCCTGCCCGTTGCCCCTTGCCCCTTGCCAAGGTCACCTGTCCCAAGAGGGCCCCTCCCTACTGGGAGTCCTGAAGCTGTGGATGACTGTGTCCAGAGCTGTCCACCCTGGCCTTCCCCCTACCTTTAGGCCACCCCACCAGCACTTCCTAGGCCCAGTCACACCCACAGGAAGGAGGAGAGCAGGAGGACAAAGGACCCCAGGACAGATAGAGAGGGCAGCCTCCCTTCTTGGCACACCAGGGTACAGCCATGGCCCCTCTCCCTCCAGGAGGAGTCTGTGTTAGGAGTCCAGTGCTTTTTCAATAAACCCTGCTTTATGTCCTTGCCTCGGCCTGCTGCTCTAGGGTTCAGACTTCAACACGGGGGAAGCAGGGCTCAACCGGTAACCGGCGGTATCACTCTGCGTCTGGGCGAGTTCTGGGGCCGGTCCCCTCTCTTACCTGACCACCTGCCTTCTGAGCCCTGCGTCGCCCTGACCCCGTCCTACAGCTCCGTAGCCTGCACTGCCCCCCTGGGGTGTGCCGCCTGAATGGGGTTTGGAGACCACAAACTGAGGCTGGAAGAAGACAGCTGCGCGCGCCGCCGAGAGAGCCCGCGGCCGGGACTCTGCGGCCACCGGCAGGTGCCCACGCTGAGGAGCCGCGCACCTGCGGACCGGGTGACACGGCGGGCTCCCCACAGCGGCCTCGCGCCCGCCGCCTACCTGCGCTCCTCCACCTCCGCGTTCCTCTCCAGTTCCAGCAAGTCCAGCTGCTTGGTCACGAACCTCTCCACAGTGGCCGAAGCCATGGCCGCACCGCCACGGACCCGCTGCCGCGCAG